GTCCCCACCATACCTCTTCCCTCACCCTCCCCTTCCACCACAACAGACTCACCAGCTGTATGCATGTCTCCATGCTTCCAGGCTGTGCACCTTGCTGCCTGCGTGCTGCAGAGTGGCTTCATGCATGGGGCATTTATTGGTCACATTGTTGGCCACATCAGGCCGACTTCTGATACAGTCAATTTTCTTTATATTGGTGATCTGATATTGGACCAACATATCAATGTATCCAGAGATGACCAGAGCAGGGCATGGGGCCCTGCTTCCAGACATGAGGAAACTGGCAGTAGATTCAGTGGGGGGAGGGGTGCTGAGTGGCCAGGTGGCTGTGAAGCCGGCAGTGGCATGGAGTTGCCACAGCCTCTCTGCCTGGCTCCATGGGGACCCCCCAAAGTGCGGGGCCTGGGGGGGATCGCCCCAATTCACTCCCCGCCAGGGAAAGCCCTGGGTGTACCTCTAGTTAAAAGCTCTTTCTTGCAAATAAATACAGATAAACACATGCACACTTAGCAATACCATTGGCTAAACCCTGTTAAATGATCAGCAATCAACCATAAGGGGTTTTTGCCACCCAAGAAGTGAAAATGTAAAGTAAGTTTGTGTAATTTGAATGACTTAACAGAACTCTTAAGTGTAGCTGGGTCGAAAAGAGGTTTTCACTGGGAAATATGAATTTGCAAAAACAAAAAGCATATAATGAAACTTTTGTTGGTTTCAACAAACTTGACAAAACACAGACAGGGTTCTGCTGCTACCCTGCCTGGTTTTTAGCCAATTCACAGGGTTGGTTTCTGGATACACCAGAGCTTTTAGTGTTCTGGACTCCGCAGCCAGCCCTGTCATATGGACTGCAGCACTGGGACCAGGGACTCTAAAAGGCATCCAGAGCACTCTAGGGCTCTTGGGTAGTAGACTGTCCCAAGGCCAGGGGCCCCATAGTTTCTACAAAACTAGGAACCTCAAAGCTCTGGGATACCTGGATATAGGTAGGGATCTTGGAACCTCAGGTGCCAGCTCTGCAGCATAGAAACCATGAGAAAGTCAGCTTAAGATTTCAGGGTTTCCATGTGCCCTGCCACAGAGCTGAAAGGACGGGGAGCCCCAAGGCACTGGCTCACCTATGGTTCTCAGATCTCTAGGTTCTCAGTGTATTGGCAGTCTCCTAGTGCTAACTAAAGCTTTGAAGCCTAGATCACAAGAACCCATAGCTGTGAACAGAGAGGCCTGGGAACTTGAGGCTCAATTTATTTGAAAATGTTGTGAATATTTGATTAGCTTAATATTTTTGTTATTTTTTTATCTTTCACAGGAAATTTAAAACTTTATATTGTTCAGAAACAAAATGATTATTTTCAGTGTTTCAGAAGTTCTTGTGGAACAGAAATTGTCATTTTGGCTAAGTCTGCTTCTACCTTCTAGAATCTGAAAGTAATTATTCATATAATGCCTAATATTTCTTTATCATGCATTTCTAGGAGGCCAGATGTTATTGTAGTGACTTCTGCCTCATTTCTAAGAAAATCTACCCATAACTCTATCATATGATATAGTGTATGGTAGTTTAAATTTCTTATGGAGATTTTATGCTAAATTATACCAGATCAGTTTTGCAAGAGGCCAGCATATTAATAGCAGGAGATGGTCTTCAGACATGATGCATAATTCATAAGGTTTGTTTTTGCATATATTTACCAATACCATTTATGAAGAGCTTAATTTAAGTACAGAAGATTGTAAGTTTACCAAAACTATTAGCAGCTCTAGAGTTTTGAAGGATTTTCTACAGCACATCTCAAAGTATTATGAAGCTCTTATGTATTGACCAGTAGCCTGATTTCTCTAAAGGCTGTCAGGTAACATAAAACAGCCTCTTCATTACAATACTGCTTGTGTAAGCCAAACAGTTTCCAAGTTGCAAAAAAATATGTAATGGAAAAGTGTCCAGAGAAGTTAAATGATGCTGAACGGAGGAAAATGCTGCACTTATAAGAGTTGTCAAACTATAATACTGTTCTTAAAATATATGGACTGAATAGAAAAGATACATTGTAATATAAAAACACAACTTGCTTTCCACATCCTGCCATACAATAGATACAACACTTCAGGAAGCACATGGTATATAAATGTTAAAACAGCAGCTTTGCCGTGAGATACTGTTGGCTCCAAAAAGACAAATAAACCTTCATCTTTGTATTTTCCTTGACAGCGATTCTGTCACCCACATTGTAGCAGAGAACAATTCTTGTGGTGAGGTTCTGCAGTGGCTAAGAGGACAGAAGGTGAGGGACAGTTCAAGATTTGAACTTCTTGACATCTCTTGGTTCACAGCCTGCATGGAAGCTGGAAAGCCAGTGGATTCTGAGATCAAACATCGACTTATTGTAAGTCAGGTTCTTCATTATCAATTCAACTTTTTTCACAAGAATCAAAACTATCGGGTAACTTCAGTGTGTATTTTTGGTGTTATTGAGTTGTGCATGAAAATGCAATGATATTTTTCTCAGAAGTGTATAGATTAATTCATGCTGTTTAATAAAATGAAAGGGTTGCTTCCACAATATCTTTTTTAATAAGTTGCTTTTTTAAATCTTTTTTTATTGGCTGCTGATAGTGATAAGTTACCATAGTCTGGTGCATTATTACTGAAATAATAATATACATAATTCATATAAATTGAAGGCTATTAAAAGTAACCAATAACCAAACTATTTGTCTTTTGTGTGGTATCTGTTGTATTCCCACAAATACTTAAATAGGAAATGCCTCAAATGCCAGGGTAATTGTATCTACTCTGAGACATACAGGACCTATTCTAATGGCTCTCACTGCAGTACTTCACATCTTTCAACAGTATATAAACATTAAAACTTGTACTGGTTAGGGTTGATCTACATACCCTTGAAGAACCTATAAAAAGACTGGTGATGCAGTCTGTGTGTAAAGGAATAGTAATTGGACTTAAGTACCATTACACACTTGGTGCTAGTAGGAAAATATACAGCAGGACTTCAGGTGTTGCATTATACTACAGCAGGATCTATATTGAAAAGCATGCTGTCTACATTCTGTAAATGGTGCTTGACCTTTCAGGTTATAGGAAGATATATAATAATGCACCCTAGCACCAGCAAAGTCATATGGTTATACTGCAGTCTGGTTTTTGGAACTGAATGCAGTATGCTGCAGAACCACTCTGGGCTACACAGTGTAACTGGTGATAGGTAGCATCACTATCCTGACAAGCTGTGCACTCTACATAATGTCATAGTACCACTGGGTGTTCTTCAAAAAGGATGATGTGATGCAACGTCACTGGTAGACCCTGTGCCCCAGCCAACTGTATTTACTTCCCTTATTCTCTTTGAATTTAACCATCACAATGATGGGTATAATGTTGCCTGGCAAAAGGTCTGATACAAAGTTTTTTGAAGCCAATGGGAAAATTCTTATTGATTTCAAAGAGCCTGAATGGACTGCATGAGCTGTAGCTCATTGCAGACCTATATTGTGGAAAAGTAGTGGACACTCAGACCAGTGTAGGATTTTGCTGAGTATATCTTACTGCTGTGTACAGCATGTCAAAAAATGAACCAGTAATTTCATAATAGTTTCTTCTTTAGTTCTTTTTCATCTTGATTATTCAACTATGAAGAATGATCTATAATCCCCTCTAGCCCAGACAGACTGTGATGTCTGGGTCATTTTTCATTGCCAAAAACTAAACTACAATACTGAATCTATTCTCCAAGATTTTAGATGAAAGAATGCCTGTTTAATAACAAATATAAAAAAATGAGTACACCAGATGGAGCTATCGTTCTCAGACTCAGAATAATACCATGATGGCCATGTGTTTATGTTTTCAATGCTTATTTTCCACAGAATCTTCTGAAGGTAGAATGCGCTAAATAAATTGATGCAAACAGAAATAAAAAAAAAAACATATATATAAACATTATACTATCTAACCTCATAGACAGGCTGAGGAGGTACGAATGTTTGGGACTAGTATTTCATTTAACTGACTGAAAAAAACCTAAAACCCCCGCGATCCCAAATATACAAAACACCATAAAGCCTTATGGGGGAATTCAATTTTAAGTTCGAGCTTTAAGATGCACTGTTGTTATGTACTTCCTATTTCATTTCAGCACCATCTGAATCTCTATGGCTTTACATGGACCAGCAAATATGAGTATATGAGATGCTTTTCAAAAAAACAAAGATTCTGAAATTCACTTTCTTATCCAAATATCAGTATAAAAACTAGTAAAAATTAATAATGATTTTTTCTGCATAAGCGGGCCTTCTTGGATTTCTGGTAGAGCAAGATTTCCTGAAGGAGCTATGGTGGCTCATTATGCTATGGAGAGATTAGTTTTGCAAGGGAGATCTTCTCATTTTATTAGGGTATAAATATTTCATACCAATAAACATAGACCATCATAAAGCACTACATGTAACATAAATGAAAAGCATAATAAACATACTTGTGCTAGTCACCTTGTTAACTTAAAAAGTAGATACTTAAGACCAGGTTTCTAAATAGTAAAACAAATAAAAGCATTTTAAATGCTGAATAGACAGGGCCAGTACCGGATTTCTTTTGCCTTAAGGAATGAGAAAAGTTTGAGATGAAGGTCAATTTTTTAAAGTACTAGGTCAAACTCATATCTGGTATATTTAATTGGAATTGCACCAAAAACAAAGTTGTCCTATTATGACAATCTTTTAAAATGTAAAATGAAAGTGAAACAGAAAACCAAAAAACTCACACTGTATTATAAATTGTCACTGTATAAAAATGGACCGTAGTAGGTTAAAATTTTGAGTGAGCCGCTGGCTGGGTTTCAGAATCTGTTGTGGATCTTCCTGGTAGGGGCAGAAGAGGAAAGAAAGAATGGTCGCTGAAGAGCAGTGATGAAAAACAGTTGTTGAGCAGTAAAAGGTCAGAGAAGTTGGGATATAGGTTGCAGCTATAATATATGATTTATGAAGTACTCAGGCATTGCAGCCCGCAGTATGTCCAGACTACCCAGGGTTTGAAGGTAAGTGGAAGAAAGTGACAGGAGTAATGGAATAAATACAAGTGTGTATGGTCCCTCCTCAGTTTAGTTACACAGGCTGAGAAAGCCTGAGGCCATAGTAGTAGGTATCCAGTGAAAGGAAATCTTCATTTGAAAGTGACTGAGGGAAAAACTGTAGGGATAACAATAAAAAAGTGCTTTTTCATGAAACTGATGAACAGAGTAACTGTACCAGATCACTCTGTTTCAGGACTGTGTACAGTTTGTCTGTCACACCAGTCACCAATTTTATAGTGCACCTAGATCTTTGTTTTCCTCTTTACTTAAAATAGGCCTTTATGAGGTTAGCTGTGTACCTAAGATTCTGTTATATTATATCCTTACATTCATACCATCCTGAAAACATTATCATAAAAGGACTGAAAATGAATGAACATGTCTATTCAGAATGCTCCTAAAAATTGCTTTTTGATATTGGCTGTGGGTTCAAATGCTATCTGGTCCCATCACACACGGTAAAAAACAAAGGCAACCTGTGAGATAAGTATTAAATTGCACCTGTTTGGGAGTAGAACCCACCGGCTCAGATTTTGTTTTTTTCAGCCAGCTAGTTTGTTTCTAGCATTCAAGAAGTAGGAGATCAGTTTTCTATTTTTCCATAAAAGAGGAATGGAAGTGGCAGCATGACAAATTCAGGTTGGCATTCTTCCCATACATGAAAGCAACAGACGTTATAGCAGGGAAATTATATAGACAATCACTGATATGCAAAGGTTTAAAACTCTGTTCATATGCACTCTAATGGCGAATGTTTGTAGATGCTCTGTACTACTTGTATAGATATTAGAAATACTTGTAGAAGCAAGCAATAGACATACATGGGATGATTTCAAACTAGTTTGACCCATGTTTAATTTACCATAATATGCATTTAATATGCAAGGGAGATTTCGATCTGCAGAAAAGGTAGATTAATACTTACTTTTAAATTATCTTAGTATTTGTTTCTTCACAGCGTGGTAAATTATCTGAAAGTGCAATGGCAAAATGCTTGTGTTTGGGACTGGATGCACTGTGGTGTGACTGTCTTTAGTCAGAGGTTTGATTTTTGTCCCCTAATCTGTATTTGCCCCATAATTTGTATGAATAATAATATCCCACCTGTTCTCTACGCTAAAAGGCAAAATAAATGTAAGTAAGTTACATTATGTTTAGTTGATGATAGAAAGGGACAGTTTCTTTAGTCCTCATGCTGTCACCTACCAATCAGACTCCAGTAATTACAGTTTGCATCTATTTTGTTTTCTATTGATTTCTGTCCCAGGTTTGTTTTGATAAGTTATACAACCAGTATTAGCATATTAAAAACATAAACATGTGGATACTGATTGAGGGGGAAAGCTCAAATAATTTTGCAAAAGCAGGAACAGGATGTTTGTGTCTCAGCGCACTGTTTTCCTGGATACAGTGAAATATTTTTGCTTTACTATAGCGCTCTCCGTGTACTTAGTTTAGCTGTCTGATTCCCAGCTCTACTTCACAGTCATTCTTCTCACGACTTCAGCTCTTGCATAGCTATTTTTATGACCTAGTGAAGTTAATGCTGGTTTACATACAATATTTAGTAACATGCTCTTTACTCACCACCTTCCTAGTTGACGTTATTTCAGTTAGTCCATTAACTATAATTAATCATAAGTGTTTGAGATTTCAAATCAGTGTTTAAGTATAATTCATGAATGTATGCAAGCGTGGCAGAGTAATGCTATTTTTCCTTACTGAAACTCTTTTCCAGTTACATGCTAGAGTAGCCTTACGTAAAGATATAATAACTTCCTTCCTTTCAAAACAGACTGTGAAAACTGTCAGAAATTTTTATTTTGCTTCAGCAATTAAAAAAATTACCTTTTAGTTTTTATGAGTACAATTATACTATTGGATAAATTGCTACAAACTTTGCTAGATCATGCATAGTGGCTGCTTTTTTATAAAATCATTTTTAACTAATACATTATCTAGTGTACTTGAATTCTCCTTGCCCATGTATGTTATGGAGAGAGGAGTCCTTTTTTCCCTTGTTAATATGAAGACAAACTTCCCATTACATACGTACACACACACACACACACACACACACACACACAC